TACCAAATAATTAGAGCTAGCATTTGATCTGATTGGTATAGTTTTAATATCACCCCTGCTTGAACAAGGGAATGAATTAACAAATATAGTAGCAAAATCACATTGTTCTTGGTTTATGGACCTTCTCTTTCTATAATTCTAATTCTAATCTCCATGGTCCCCTAAATGCAGGCAGGGCAGCCCTTGCTTGCAAAGTTCATAGCTAATCTGGGTTTCCTCTGGGACTTAAGGTTTGTTAGCTGTCCAGTAGCCTCCTCAGTGCCTCCCAGGTACTGGGCTTGCCTTTTGGGCCGCATGGCAGAATGTACAGCAACCTTCACATGTTAAATGTTTATACTACACTCCCATCCTGAGAAATGGTTAGTTGGGCCAGAAAGTATCTATTTTACTGTTAAGGAACAGCTATTCAGCTTTGTTTTTCTCATTTATACTCCATGGGTGAGGGAGAGTGGACAAAAAGAAAAGAAAAAAAACTGGTTTTGATTTTAAGTGTTTTAGAAGCAGAAATAAAAAAGTTAATATAGTTAACATATTTATGCCATATAATTTTTTCTAAGAACAGTGTAATTATAAAATGTCATGTCATTATAGATTCAGTACAATGAAGGAAAATTTACAGTAAAATATGATACTGTAAAAGCAAGACATATTGCTTCCAACAGGATTGTCACTTTCATATGAGAAATGAGAAAAGATCCACACTAAGGCATATCATTGATTTTAAAACACTAGGAACCAAAAGAAAACCTTGAAGAGAAAAAACTTACACAAAGAAATTTAGAAACCACTAAAGAGCTGGACTTTTCCAAAGCAACAACTAGAAGCAAGAACATATTAGAGTAATATGTATAATTGGAACAATACTTTCAACACTCAGAGGAATTATTTCCAATGAGGAATTCTTCACCTAGTGAACATCTTAATCATGCGTGAAGATAAAATTCAAACACAGAATGGTTTTATTAAAATTACTTCAAATGCAACCTTTCTAAGGAAGTTAGTAAAGGGTGTGGTCCAGAAAAGCTAGAGCATAAACCAAGAAAGAGAACAACTTGGGATCTAAGGAACAGAAGCTAACACAGGAGAGAAGGAAAGGGAATTCCCAGGATGACAGATGGGTGGTGGGCTTAGAGAATAACCATTCCAGAATGAATTAGGAGGGCAGTAAACTCCAAGAGGGTGTGCTCTCAGAAAATTAGTGGAACTAATACTGAGTAGAAATTTATGGGTCTGTCAGTTTGGGACTGAACTTGTAACAGGGACATAGGAAAACAAATCAAACAAAAAGAGCCAATTTGGAAAAAAAATAATTGTGAGCAATATTTATATAGTATGATACAAATACTAAGTATTGTAACCACAAAGTTTTATATCTGTGGAAGATACATAAGTGTGTGTTGGGGTGGGACATATAAGAAAGGTAGCACAAGGCACTGGTTCAAGCCCCAGCATTCAAGGGGAAAAGCTGTGAATTTCTCCTCTTACACAGCAGAAATGCAGAAATAGGTCATTTTAAACCCAAATAAAAATAAGAAATAGCATTAAGTGTTATTCAGAAGTAATTATACTATCAACCAAAAGAAATAGGTAAAAACATTTAAAAATTACTTAAAACAACACAAATTTATTAGCTCACACTTCTGTGGGTCAGAAGTCCAGCACTGTGTGGCTGAATTTTCTGCTCAGGGCCAAAATCACGTTGGGTGCCAACTTTTGCTCCTGTATTGGAGGCTCTGGGGACGAATGTTTCCAGGCTTATTCAAGTTATTGGCAGAGTATCCAGTTCCTTATACTTTCTACATGGCCCCTTTCATCCTCAAGCTACAACAGCATGGTGAGTCATTTTTTTGCTTTGAATATCTCTTCTTCTGCTTTCAGGAAAAAGATTTCTCTTCTTTTAAGGGCTCAAGATTGGATCCAGCTAGATAATCCAGGAAAATCTTCCTATTTTAAGGTCTCTGGCTTTAATCACATCTACTAGGCCCTTTTTGTTGTATGAAGTTACACATTCACAGGTTCCAGGAATTAGGGTGTTGACAACTGCAGGAATGGGATAAAGATGGGTGGGGCAGAGGATGACTGTTTCTTAATGTTTTGTGTTAGTCATCTCTCCATTATTATAATAAATACTTGAGCAAATCAATTTATAAAGAGAAAAGGCTTATTTTGGTTCAGTTTTAGAGGTTTCAGTTCCTGATCAGTTGGCCAGATTGCTTTGGGCCTGTGATGGCACATCATGATGGTCACACATGGTCTGGGAGAGGAAGACGAAGGGGCTAGTGTCCTGTTGTCCACTTTCAGCGCATGCCCTAATGACCAGAGATTTCCCACTAGGCCTGGCCACTTAAACGATTTCTACCCACTCCCAATAGTGCCACACTGAGAACCAACTTTTACCTTTTGGGGACTTGAGTCTAAAGTATAGCAAGCCCTATAATATTCTTTGGGTTTAAAAATTTTATGCGTGTATTATTTTGATCAACTAAAACTAAAAAAGTTAAGTACAATTACCAAATTTGCATGCAGTGAATTCAAATGGACTATATTTTAAGTAATGTATCACATGTAGTCATTATACAAGCAATCTATCTTATTCATAGTCCATTTTATGTTTCAAGGCAAAATGACCTAAGATCTGCCAAACATATTAGGAAATATTTGTTAGGCAGACCCATGGAGAACCACAGAGGGACCCTGGTGAAAATCTTAATTTGGGTGGACCACAGGACCCATCCAAGGTACCAATTCCTTTGTTTTTCACATCACATTAAAGGGCCTACTCCTCTGGTTACTTATGGCAATCCTACTCATAGCTAGGTACTTCCTGTAGGAAGAGTAGGTGAGGGTGACCATAAACATATTTTCTTAACTTGTTAAACAAAAGCCATCATCTTAGCTTTCACTGTATGTCAGAATTAATAAAGCTAGCTGGGGTCATGGCTCAAGTGGGAGAGCACCTACCTACCAAGCTTGAGGCCCTACATTCAAACCCTAGTAACACCAAAAAAATTATTAAGTTAATCTAGTGCAATCTCCTCATTTTCCAAAGAGGAAAAGGGACCTTCCCCCCAGAAAGGGAAAGGTACCTGCCCGTGGTCATAGTGCTTATTCTCATAGAAAAGATTCCCACTTCCAAATGAGCTCCACAAGGTATGGCCACTGTTATGAATCATGGATAGGATTATAAATTACTAAGTCTAACATCTTCATTTAGCAGATGGGGAAACATTTCCACACAGGGAAAGATACTTGCCCAAGGTCCTTTGCAACTCTTAAATTCTAATCCAGATTTCTTTCTCCTATACAAAGTAGCCTCCCCTTGACTAACCACCTCATACTAAGCCAAACCTTATTCACTTCTAAATTCCTATTATCTAGCACCCTGTGTGGTGCTGATCTGTGGCACACAGATCAATCAAATGATTTAAATTCTCAAATAGTCCTCCAGTTGATAAGCAAAAAGAAAAAACAAGGTGTTTTTTCTTTAGGTAGCTGCTTCCTTGGGACAAATAAATATATCACTGGCTACATAATAAGGTTTTAAAGTCAGGTTGACTTGTTTTCCAATTATGTTTCAGTTACTTACTAGATATGTGATTTCACAATATAACTCAATCATTTTACATGCCAACTTCTTCATCTGTAAAATGAAGATAATGCAACCCATCTTGAGACCGATGTAGGGAATTACTGAAATAACACATGTAACTTGGCACACAGTAGCCACTCACTAACTATTGATTTCCTTTTTATATACTAGTCTACTTAACAAATGTTGAAAGCTAGCAGTGAAACATTTTCCTGTTGCTAATGGTAAACTAAAAATGTGGCCACTGAGAAAGACAGTTAAAGGCCAAACTTTCAGGAAAAAAAAATCATCTTGGGGATTAAGGTAAAGATGTGTAGCACATCCAAGTATCAATAAAACTCCTTCCTTACTTAAAGTAAAAGCATACCAAGATTTAGCTACAGTACTTACAAAACATGTTATTGCTTGACCTAATCATTAGAGTCTGAAAGAAAACAGACTTCTGAAATAAAGATTCATATTCCTTTGCTTTCTTCTTCTTCTTTTTTTTTGTAGCACTGGGGTTTGAACTCAGGGCTTCATGCTTGTTAGGCAGGCATTCTACCACTTGAGCCACTCTACCAGCCCCTTTGCTGTCTTCTAAAACTACTACTATCTTAGTAGCATAATATGCTATTCATTTGAGCATAAAGCTGCACTTTTTAAAAGAACAGGAATCCCTGGTAATGATAAAATGGTAAATTACTCTGGAAAGCAAATGTGCTTGGATTATTCTGGTTTCTCTTTCCCCTCAAATGAGGTGAATGTGCTTGTGGCTACAGGAATCTATTTTCTGTGGATGTCATACAGATTTAGGACCTCCAGAGTTCCCAGTTAAATGTCTTCTGTTTAAAACACTCAGTGTTCACGTGTTAAGAATTAGAAAGAGGTTTCTTACTTAAACAAACAACTATACTTACCTAGAGATGAATTTCCAGAATCTTCCTAGATAATTCTATACTGTTACATAAGTATCAGCACTCCTGCCCTTATCCTGGGGTTTAGAACCTGTAGAAACTCAGGATAATTAACAAATGTGGTCTGGCCAAAGACATACTCTTAAATTTAGCACAAATGATTAAAAAAAACTCTCTGTGATATCCAAATCATGCTGGTGTAGTTGCATAAAATATAAATCTATATTATCTCTTAAGAGGACAGCTATTAAAAATTTATTTTCTTAGTCTTAATTCTAATCCACTAACATAATTATCTTATAAGTACAGGTCCCCCAAGACATATACCATGACAGTCATGTATACTGTGTATACCATGTATATATTATGTATAACAAGTCAGTAGTATGCTTATTATTAGAAAGGACCAGCTGACCATTTCTGTTATTATAATTTAATTTTATCAAATACTTAAGAACCTTTAGGTGCTGCTTGCAAAAACTATACTAATATTAAATTAAGTAAATGCATGTGCTTATCAGAAAACATAAATACAGTAGAACAGCAGGTAAGCGTATGATAAATGATCGTAAGATAAAACAGCTGCCTTGGATTTTTTACAATGTTTACTCTTTTAACTCTAAATTTTGTCACCACCCACTCCTCATAACACTTTCCCCAAGATAAGACCAAAGGAAAACATTTAGGTGACATACAAAAAGATAGTTATTTTATTTATTTTACTGAAGCTTAAGAAGTTAAACAAAAAAAAGACCCCTAGTTGAAGACATTACTAAAAATGTTAACATTATTTCTTATATCCCTTCAGTGCCCAGATGCAGAAAAACTTATCTGAATGAACGAATAAGAATGACCCTCCCTCTAGTGGGTTTATTTAGGTATATGGGGAAAAATCCATATAGGTTAGACAAAATAGTATATGAACTTACTACTTTCTTACAGGTGATGTACTGACATCTCCAAGAACTCCCAAAACCTGCAGATCACTTTAAACTGTATAAAACGAGCATAGGTACTCCTAGAATTTACTGCCCCCTTCTTCTTCAGCTATTTCACTGCTAAAAGAAGATGGAAATAAAATATGATTTCCTTGCTTCAAGGCTGTATCACTGTCAGCATCTGTAGTTCTTGGGGATTTCAAAGCATTCTCCTCATTGCCATCAAAATAGGCTAACAGTAAAAATGGCTTTGGGTTAGGCATTCAAGTGTTCTTGCTTCCCAGAATCCTAAAATCCTGGCTAAGAAGTAATTTCATTCCTACACAGGAAACCCAGGTATTCTTTCTAGTGAACAGTAGAACAAATTGGAACATCTACAAGGCCTGTATCCCAGCCTCAATTTGACTTCCAAAATAAAAGCACAGGAAAGACACACCTTTACATCTACCATTGCCATGCATCCCCATTTCTTCTGAGATGCCAGAGCACAGTACACTTCCACTACCACAGAAACAGGCTGCCACTTTTGCCAAAATCTGTGGAAAGTAGGGGTTTCTTCCCTGCCCTAAAAACAGGAATGGCAAGTAACATCCTCTTACTAATATGGATGGTAAATGTTTGAAGAACTAGTGGTATAAAGTTCTGAAGTTCCTACAAGCAATCTGAGTCTATGTGTATGTGAGAGACAAGGGGATACCTCTCACTTTCCATGTTTCTTTAAATTTGGAGGAAGTAGGAGGAATAGAGGGAATATACATATATATATATATATGCATATGTACATGTGCATATGCATATTTTGTGGGATTGGGGGAGAATGGAACCCTAACATATGCAAAAAATGAGTATATAGTTGAAACACTGGATGGCTGGCTATCAATATAACATAGGAAATCTACTTAACCATTTAAAGCAGGGAAAAAGAAGAATCCTAGGACCCATCTTGCAAAGAAAGAGAAACAGACACAACTATTCTTTTCCCTCGAGAAAAGAGCTAAGCTCTAAAGTGAAGATAATACCTAATCTGTTTAGAAAATGCATAGAGAAACATCAAATGCTGAACAGTGTCAAACAATTGCACACTCATATAGAAGTTACAAAATATGTAAGAATTAGTCATTGCTTCTCAGTCTACTCAGATTTTACTTGAGATGCAAATTATCCCTGCTCCTCTAGGCATTCTGAGCAGATTTATACACTAATTTCCAATGAAAATCCAAAAGGCTACAAAGGAAGGGAATGAGGGAGAAAGTAAAGGCAGAGATAAGTATAGGAGCTGGGGAGTTGAAAAGTCTGAGAAATGAATGGTGGGAGATAAAGAAAGTGATAAGAATGGAGGAGTTCCAACTAGATTGTAAACCTATTGAGGAGTTTGTCCCTCACACCTGGGGGCCTAGCACAAGCCAGACACATAGTCAATACTTAATATCAGTAGCAGAAGTGAAGAAAAAATACATTATTAGAGGCTTCTTTGTTCCAACTCTAATATCCAATGAGACATTCTGCCTCCATTGACCTTCAAAGCCTGCAATGACAAGGAAGAGTCTTGGTAATGAAGCTGCCTCTGCTTTGTCTGTAGTTGTCATTGTCATGGCCAACACTGATTGCTGGGGCTTTCAAAGCAGAGGAAAATGCTATTGAAGTGGATGATGACTCCAGACTGTTAAGAGCTTTAATAGCTACAAACATGACACAATGGAATCTTAAGCAATAAGTAGGTATCAGGTTGTATCAATTTTGCTTGCTAGATGTTCTCTGTGAGTCAAATTTAGCATTAGAGCCTCTACCCAAAATGAGCTCCCTCACAAATAAAATTTCTTGGTGTTATTTGACACAAAGACTGTAAAGCAAATAGATCCCTTAGGAAGTTGTCATAACTCTTGAAAAGATGAACTCTACTGCCATTATCACTTTGTGCTTTGTCCCCTAGTTTGAAGACTTCTCAACCGATGTCTGCTTTTACAATTCAATGAGAATGTCTCTACTCTTTTCTCCAAAGGGCCCATTATTTTTCGTTTTTCGGTGCATGACTCATACAAAGTCCTGTGGCTCTTATGAGCTGCCTGGTTTTAAAGGGTCCAATAAGTTTCAGTTTCCACTTAACAAGTTCCCAGATAACAAACGGAGAATGCGATGAATCTCTTCACAAGGTCACATTGAAGGCAAAAATAAATTATCCCCGTCACTGAGAAGCTTTCTTCAGGTTTTCTATCAGAACTACAGAATCAGTTTCTTCTTTGGATTGCTTCTCATAGATATCATACTTCTTCCAATGCTGCAAGGGAGGAAAAAAACACACACGATGACTTTTCTAAACAATGTTCTTTCCCTGAGTACGCACAGTCGGTGCTTATTTTTAGGTTGCGTGCATGCAACCATGAGCGTAATGTTGTCCTGGTTTTAGTTTTTGTTTTTTGACCTAAGAATACTTATCTACTTGAACAATTAATAAAACAAAACAACTAAGAATTAACATTAAAGATAGAAAAAGCATGGGATTGTTGCATGATGTTTAATAGCTGTTTCAAAAGATAAACAAAGTTGGATATTGCCAAAATTGGAAACTGTCTTTGAAGATGAATAAAAGGGTAACTTTTCTTACTTTAACTGCTTCACTTGGACCCTTTTTTTTTCTTTTGCTTTGGCAGTACTGGGGTTTAAACTCAGGGCCTCATACTTGCTAGGTAGGTACTCTACCACTTTAGACATGCCCCCAGTTCTGTTTGCTTTAGTTATTTTCCAGGTAAAGTCTCGTGGTTTTTGCCCACACCAGCCTCAGGACCATGATCCTCCTACCTATGCTGCCATTGTAGATGGGATCATTAGGAACATGCCATCATGCTTGGTTTATTCATTGAAATGGGATCTGAATAACTAGCTCCCCAGGCTGGCCTCAAACGGCCATCCTCCTGATCTCCACCTCCCAAGTAGCTGGGATTCTAGGTATGAGCCACTGCACCTGGCCTCACTCAAATTTGACCATTGATCCAGGGATATTATAGACTCTAAAAGTCAATTAACATCTAGGATGTCTCAAAAGTGTTAATTCAGTTAAAACTTCTGAAAGCCTTTGTATTAACAGCTTTATCAAACATCATTTTGCTAGATAGATCAGGGCGTTATATATGAGGCAAGCTTATCTTGAGCCCAATACAAGCTTGTCCCTTATGGTGCAAGTCAACATCCTGGTTCTTGCCTTCTTTACTTGTAGATCTAAGGAAAGGGCAAAATCTGAGCTCAGTTCTCTAATCCGTAAAATAAATTTGTTAGACTAAACCAGGGATAGGCAAAGTATGGTCCACAGGCCAAGCTGCTGTTTTCGTAGGTGAAGTTGTTTTGGAATATGCCCATTTGATTCTGTATTGCCTACAGCTGCTTTCATGCTATAAAGGCAGATTTAAGTTGTGACAGAGACTGACTTGTAAGCCAAAGATATTTAGTACATGACTCTTTATAGAAAAAGGTTTGCCACCCCCCTGCACTAGTTTACGTCTAAGCTTCTTTTTCTGTTTTGATGTTCTATGGTTCACTAAGCTTAGGGGAAGAAACAGAAATAAGAAAAAGAGAAACAATGATTACTCAGTTGCCCCAGGTTGTGCAATTAGAGATGAATGGAGTAAGTTAGGAGCATCCAGTTTCAGAGAGTGTATGAAGAGATGAGTTGGAAATACTTCTTAAAATATTCAAATTATTCTAAATAAGTTATTCAACCTTGACACACCTAGGAGTGGATAAAGTTAAAAACAGTGACAATTCCAAGTGCTAATAAGAATGCAGAGTAACTGGATCTCTTACTTATTATTGGTGGGGATATAAAATAGTACAGCCAGTATGGAAAACAGCCTGAGAGTTTCTTATAAAACTAAACATATACTTACTACACAACCCAGAAATCCCCACTCCTGGGTATTTACTCAGAAGAAATAAAAATATGTCCACACAGATTTCTACATGACTGTCAATAGCAGCTTTACTCATAATAGCCCCAAATTAGATACAACCCTGATATCCTTAAACAAGTAAATGGTTAATAAACTATGATAAAGCCATACCATGGAATACTGCTTAGAAATAAAAAGGAATGAACCATTGAAATATGCAATAAGGATGACTCTTAATGCATTCTACTAAGTGAAAAAACCAGACTCATGACTTTCTGGAAAAGGTAAAAGTTTTAGAGACAGAAAACAGATCAGTAGTCGTAAAGGTCTAGGGTCAAAGACAGGGTTAACTGCAAAGGAGCACAAAGGAACTTTGGGGGGATTATGGAAAATAGTTTATATCTTGATTGGAGTGGTGGCTATAAAATTGCATATATTTGATAAAACTCTTCTAATTACAAAAGAGAACATTTTATCACATATAAATTATAGCTCAAAACTCTAATTTTTATTTATTTATGTATTTTTTCCTTTTTCTTTTATTATTCATATGTGCATATAAGGCTTGGTTCATTTCTCCCCCCTGCCCCCACCCCCTCCCTTACCACCCACTCCGCCCCCTCCCTCTCCCCCCCTCAATACCCAGCAGAAACTATTTTGCCCTTATTTCTAATTTTGTTGTAGAGAGAGTATAAGCAATAACAGGAATTCACCCCAGAGATCTGCATAAAAAACTCTAATTTTTAGAAATGTGGAATGTACAGACTTCTAATAAACAATCTGAAAATTATATATCCTTGAAATAATGACTTATTCAATAAATGGCACTAAGACAACTGGTTAAGCTTTTGAAAAGCAAAGTTAAATCCTACCTCATAGACTACACAAATAAATTCCTAAAGACCTAAATGTAAAAAACAAAATCAAGTAAGTACTAGAAAAATACATAGAACAGCTATCAACATCTTAAGAAGTAAGGGCTTTCTACACATAAAAAATAAAGGAAGATTTTATTGCAGAAAAAAAGGAAAATTTTTGTACACCATTAGTCACCTTAGATACAGTAAAAATGGATGAGAAGTCAAAGCAAAACCCAATACATAGAACTTTATAAAGCACTAAGGAAAAGATGAATACCACAGGGGAAAAAGAATTCAAGCCAATGAACTTAACAAAAAATATAAAACTTGATACACAAAATTAAGATAAGATGCTATTTTCTCATCTATCAAACCTTGGCAATACTTTTTATAATTAGATAACCCATGTTGGCAAAAAGCGCAGCCAAACACTCATTTGCGTAGAATGCCTGCCTTATAAGAATAAGGTCATGAATTCAAACCCCAGTACCAACAAAAGAAGCCAAAAACAAACACCCATTTGCATATAAATACAAACTGGTACAAACTAATTTTAATCTATGCTTCTTGTAAAAATTTAAATTTTGTGTATTCTAATGCCCTTTTTTTCTTAACAGTAAGAAATCATAACTCTATATAGATAATCTGGATATTTCATTTAATAGCATTTGTTATATATTTTTACACACCAGCATAATATTTCATTGCATGAATGGACCACAGCCTATTTAACCAGTATTCTCACTAGATATCTAACCTATAGGACTTCTCAGGATAACAATCTGTCAATACCAGAGAGTTTAAATAGAAGTAAGAATAAATAAGGGCACCAACAATGTTCATACTGCTTGAAGAACTGTTTGAAGGGACTAGGGGGAGGTGGAAGAGGAAAAGAGGATAGTCAGTGAGTAGTATTGAAATACACTACAACTGTATATGAAGATTGCATATAATGAAATGCACTGTAGCTGTTGAGTAATGGGGTAGGGGGAATAGGGAAAGAGAAATAGAGGGGACCAATCTGATTAGAGTACAATCTATTCATATGTGAAATACTATGGTGAAACCAGCTCCTTTGAACAATCAATATGCACTTTTTAAAAATGAAGAACAGGATTTTAAAATGGGACCTATTTGGTGGTGGGTATAGTGTGTGTGGATGAACAGAGAGGGTGAAGGAGAGTGAATATAGTCAATGTACTTTCTATACTTATATGAAAATAGAACAGTGAAACCTATTGAAATTTTTAAGAAGGGGAAGAGTGAGTGAGGGAGAATGAAGAAAGGTGTGAATCTAACCAAAGTACATTGTAAGCATATATGGAGATGTCACAATAAAACCCTCCTGTACGACTAATATACACAAATAAAAATGTTTTTAAAATGGGGAAGGCTAGAAATGTAGTTCAGTGGTAGAGTGCTTACCTAATAGGTACAAAGCCCTGGGTTTGATCCCAGCATTCCCAAAATAATCTAATTACAAAAAAGATAAATAAAATTAGATAAAAGATGAGGAATAAAAAATAAAAAGAAAAAAATGGGGGACTGAGGATGTACCTTAGTGTTAGATACTTGTCTAGCATGCCCAAGATTCTGGGTTTGATCTCCATACCTCAAAAAATGAGGAGTACAAGGAGAGAGCACATGGAAAAACTGTTCAACAACCATTAAAAATTATTTAAGTCAGGAGTGGTGGTACATGTCTGTAGTCCCAGCTACTCATGAGACTGAGGTGTGAGTATCTCTTGAGCCAAGGAGTTCAAGGCTAGCCTGGGCAACATAGTGAGATGCCCCCATCTCAAATATTGTGAGCCAGTGGCTCATGCCTATAATACTAGCTATTCAGGAGGCAGAGATCAGGAGGATCAGTTTGAAGCCAGCCCAGGCAAATAATTTGTGAGGCCCTATCTCGAGAGAAAAAAAAGGGCTGGTGGAGTGGCTCAAGGTGTAGGTCCTGAGTTCAAGCCCCACAAAAAAAATGCATTCTGAAAATAACACTTTCATTGGTTTTTTGTCATTAGACTCAATGCTTAATTGTGTAGGATAAGGAAAAAGCAATTTGTTTCAATAAGGTGAACACTGAAGCAGAAATGACCTATAAGAATACATTAATCTCTTCAAGTGCACTTTCTATTCCTAAAACTTGGGTTGCTCTCTTTTCTACCCTTCATCAGCACCATGGCCTTTTCTTGAGCACTGCATGGAAAATGTCCACATACGATAAAAGGAACAAATATAAAGGCTCTGAATTAGTTACAATTTTATGAATTTTGTCCCAATTTAATTTTAAAATTCATAAAATTACCAGGCCATAATTCCATCCTTATATTGCCAATTTAAAATGAATTCATCAACAATAAAACAATTTTTAAGGAGGAAAAATAACTGAAAAAATTCAGTGTTTATGAAACTGGATTTTAGTTGTATCTGAGCCTAGAAAAACAGAATTTTATATGGAATTTTATAACATGAAGAAATAAATTCAGGAATGTAATGGAATATCAAGTCTTAATTTAACATTGTTTTCAAGATTT